TGCAAGTCATGAAGCAGACGTTACCCTATAGTGTGGCAGACCTTGAATGGGATGCAGGTCATAAAACCAATGTTCAGCAGTGTTACTGCTATTGTGGAGGCCCTGGAGAGTAAGTAAATATAAGGTCTTCTAAATTTTTATTTACTTACATTGTTTATTTTTCTTATTGGCTGTGATGTAGAAGGATGATAATGTGTAAATATATAAAAGTGCCAGTAAAGAAAATTAGAATACCTTGTCTATCATTTTTTCCTCCAAAAAAGTCTCATCTAGTTTTTCCCCCATGTTCATATATTCATATACTTAAAAGATACTATTATAGGTCTTGTTATTCTGAAATTAAAAGTGAATTTTACCTGTCTAAAACAAAGAACAGGAAAGAAAAGCAAATGTGTAGAAACAATGAATCCAACAGACTACACATAAACCTCATCTTCTGTGAGTCAGCGTCCATGACTTTGAGACTAGAAGAACTAACTGGATGGTGCCTGGCAGCCACTGCTAACCACTCTAAAAAGGATCACAGTACAGAGGGATCCTGAATAAAGGAGGGGGAGATGTGAAACAAAATTAAAAGCCAGGCTTACTGATCTGATAGAGACTGGTGCAACCCTTGGAACTGTAGCTCTTAGTCTTCCCTTGAACCTGACCAAAATTCATCTCCATAGCTCAGTTTTCAGCCAAATTGGTAAGGTGAATTGATAGGTAAGATAAGGGAGGCACTCACTCCTTAAGAGTAAATAGCCAAAAATATGGTATAATTGCAACAGGTGCCCAAGGATAAAGCCCAGAAGAAAGAAAGTAGGAAGTGAGATCACACAGAAGAAGTGGGAAGAGTACAGTTACTTTGTGGATATTGTAATCAATAATATAAGACAGAATAGTTCAGAAATGTTGTTAATGTGCCTTTGAGTTGACTGTGACTCAGCAAGCCTATGTACAACAGTACAGCAGCCTTATATCCTGCTCTATCCTGTGTCAATCTTATTGTCTCTGACACACCTACCCCCATTAATTCAGTCACTGAGCCAATCCATTTCATAGAGGGTCTTTCTCTCCTGTGCTGTCCCTCCAACCTCCCAAGCATACATCCCTCTCCAAGGATTAGTTAGTTTCTCCTTGCAGCATGTCCAGAGTATGTCAGATGAAGCTGACATAGTTCAGAAATAATGGAATGAAAAAGAAATTTGTTTTGCAGACTTTCACTCAAATCATAATTGAAAGTAAATTATAAGTACATAATTTGTCAAATGAATTATATACTGTGTTACTGTAGAATGCTTTAAGTCAGTTTTGGCTCATAGTGACTCTGTAATAGAATCAAACTGCCTATTGGGTTTTTTAGGCTGTAATTTTGACAGAAGCAGAGATAAAGACCTTTCTCTTGTCAAGCATATAGGTGGATTGGAACTCATACTTTTGAGACTCATACATCAAAATGAAATGTGAATCCCACCAACAATGTAGAAGAGTTCCTTTCTCACCATATCCTCTCTAACATCTGTTGCTTGCTGTCCTGATAAACTTTGTCAGTGTTAACTGGAGTGAGATGTTACCTCATTGTGGTTTTGATTTGCATCTCTCTTATTGCCAGTGATTTGGAGCATTTCTTCATGTGTTTGTTTGCTATTCGAATATCTTCCTCTGTGAAAATTCTTTTCATGTCTTTTGCCCATTTTGTAAATTGGGTTATCAGTCTTTCTTGTGGAGGCCTGGTAGTATTCTGTAA